ATGGCACATTGGTGGTGTTCTAAGTTCTTTATCTGCAACTTTCTTTCAGGTGAACGTGTGCTTTGTTTTCATGGACCTCTCCTTTATGAAGCCAAGGTATGTGTGGTTGCTTATTGTGGTAAGAAGGCTCTGACTGTTTCCCAAGAAAAGAAGGAACTGTGTTAGTTTGCCTGCTTAGTCCTACTAGACAGGATTAAGGATGGAACAAAAACATGATAATGTACAAAATGAGTTTTAAATCCTGGAGCTCTATAGCATAAAAAAAACCTCAGAAAGCCCAGTGGTACTCTGCAGCTCTTCTGGTTAACTTGGTATCCCTCCTGCTTCTGCTGCAGTGCTCAATGATGAGCTCCTCTCCTGGGCCTTAAGCAGATGTTGCTGCCCTGCCCCTGTTTTACTGCAGGTAGACCTCCTTGTTTGACTGCTGGTTTCCACTTCCTCTGAAATTGGGGGAAAAAAAGAGGCTTTTGTAGCTGCATGGATTGGAAGACTTGCAGAAGTTCCTAGAATGCCTTAAGCAGATTTAAATCCATTATATTTTGTTGTCAGGAGATTTTACCTGATGGGATGACTTCAGAGAGGTGGTAGCACAGAGGCAGTGAGAAGTACTTGACATCTCTTTGTGGTCTCAGGAAATAGTTTCTTTAATGTTAAAGTAACACCCAGAGCATTGGCAGGGGCTGAGCTTATCTATAACACTTCCCCTTTAGTCATTCTGCTCTGTTCTCTCCCTTGCTCTCAAGGCTTAAGTTTTGTTCCTGATGACCATATCTTTGGCTTCCCATAGCAACAGAGATGATCAGAAAAGCCCTTGGATTTGTTGGAGCAGTCTGAACAAATAAGGCAGAGAGGAACAGTTCATCCATGTGTCTCTGTACAGCACAGAGTTGGATGAGCTGCGTTTAAGACACTTCCAACCAGCAGCAAGAAGGAAATATATTGGTACAGAAATACAGTTGAATCTTCTACTTCATGCTCAATTCTTACAAACTTCAAAACAAGTAGGTGCTTCTTCAACACACAGCCAGTAGTTTGTTCCCTTTGATGTCAGGACTGTTAATGTGAGTCCCTGGTGCATTAGTGTATCAGAGTTAGGAGATCCTTACTCCTAGTTGCAAGTCTAGGTGAGTTTAAGGTCTGTATGTGCCATTTTGGAGATGAGTACTGAGTTGAGATGTAACTCTATATCTTAATTTCTTTTTATTGAAGAGGGTACACTGTGCTGAGGTCACCTCAGAGGTCTGGAGAAAATGTTGTGTAGCAGAAGGCCTTGCCCACTCAGGCACTTAGAGATGACTCAATTAGCATGGGAAGAAAATAGCAGTTAGGACTTTGAGTTGTTTTTTTACTTCAATTAAAAAACAACTCCTTAAGCTAGAGCCAAAGAGGGTGATTCTTCTTGTTCTACACCATCCTCATTGTGCTGTTGAAGTGGTGCAGTGGCCTCTGCAGCTCAAGTGTCCCAGAACAAGGCTCTGTGCTGGATGAAGTGCTGAAGTTGGTGGATTTAATTTGGTACAGCCAGGAAGTTCAGAGCCATGTGGTGGGTGTGTAGTTCAGCTAGTGAGGGTTGAGCAGTGGCTGCTCTGGGCTGATGTTTGCAGGAAGGTGTCTCTGGCTGTGTGTTTCTTGTGGGGTAGAAGTAGCTGGAGCTCCCTGTGGGATAACTCCAGCATGCTGAGGTGCAGGGGCAGGAGGAAGCTGGGCTGTTACTGGGCAGTGTGTGTGGTTGCTCCACTCACCTGAATGTGCTCCTCTGAGCTGGGGCAGGGTCTTGCAGGCTGCAAGTAGAGCTGAGCTAAGCTGTTGGGCAGAGAAGTTTCTGAATTAGTGGTACTGTGGAGTGGTTGGAGCAATCCTGTTGTGTACTTGTTGCCTCTTTTAATGGTCTTGCCTTAATATCTGCCTATGAGGAAGTTACTGTATTCATAGTCCAGTCTTTTGATGGAAGTAACTGTTTTTATTTACCTCATATACATAGAAATATAGAATCAAGGTTGGGAAAGACTTATAGGGTCATCAAGTCCAACCATCAACCCAACAATGCCATGACCACACTAAACCACGTCCCCAAGTGCCATATGGCCACATGTTTTTTTGAACTCCTGCAGGGCTGGTGACTCCACCAGTTCCCTGGCAGCCTGGTGCAATGCCTCAACACACTTTCAGTGAAGAAATTCTTCCTAAAATGCAATCGAAACCTCCCCTGGCACAACTTAATCCCATAGCCACTTGTCCAATCACTTGTCACTTGGGAGCAGTCTTACACTCTTAACCTAGAGAAGTCTTACACTCTTAACCTAGCTGAAGCAACTCTTTCTACTGACTATAATGTTCTCTCTGTGGCTGTAGAGATCCATATTTATTTTACTTTTGAAGACTCCTCTACTTGAGCCAGCTTACCTGCCTGTGAGGTAGGGGCCTGCATGTGACCCAGCTCTAGTGGATGGCTTTGGGCTGAGCTGGGGTTAGGGAGGTGACTGCTCGTTTACTCTTCTGGCCATCCTTGAGCATTTCTGATCCTTCTCATGATTGCAGGTGTCCCTTTGGGTAGCTGAGCAGGGTCACTTGTTTGCCAAGGCCTTCCAAACCTGTGACTAGGCAGTAACTTGTGCTAGAGAACTTAGACCTGCTAGTGTTTCAGTTGCTTGCATGGAAATTTCTGCATGTTTCAACTCTGAAGCTAAAACAGCAAAGCCCCTTCAGATCTCTGTTCTCCTTGGTGCTGACTGAACTTCCTTCTCTGTTCCAGTGTGTAAAGGTTGCCATAAAGGACAAGCAAGTGAAATACTTTATCCATTACAGTGGTTGGAATAAAAAGTAAGTATTGCCTAAACTGAAAGCAGTGTTTCATTTGCCTCCAGGGGAGGCTCTGTCAGTTTGGATGTGATGTTGGTGGACTAGCAGTGCTAAGTCCCTGTCGTTGGGAGATTGGGTCTGAAATCCCCCCATGTGATTTGAGTACACAAGCTGATGATTTATAGTAACACAAAGAAAACATTACCTACCTAGCCATTTCCTTCAGAGCTTTGGCTCTGGAGACAGACTAGCTTAGGGTGTCAGTAGACTAATAAGAATGCCTTACAGTGCTCTGTTGTTCAGGGTTGAAAATAGTCACTGTAATTCCTCCCTGGCAGAAATATCTGGTACAAAAACTTCCTTGTTAGGTGTTGGTAGGGGAGGGAACCCCTGCAGAGGGAGCAGAGCTCCCTGCTCAGATGCAGTGTGCTTTACTTTCTATACTGCTGTTGGCAGCAAAGCTTTCGAGCAGCATGCCTTGGGGAGGGCTCTCTGGGTTAGTCCTTCCCAGAGCATGTTTAACCTGGATTCCAGATCTTGCCCCTCATGCTAAGGTAAAGTTAGAGCTGCTTTTCCCTTCTCCAAAAATGGTGCTAATCTAGGTGAGAGAGCTCTGAGCAATAAAGGTGGAATAAACGTTGAGCCCATTAAAGTTGAATACTTTGAGATTATTGCATTTGTGTACTGGTCTTTTTTCTTTCACCTGAATTCTGTTCTGCCAACTATGTTTGGAATTTAGGAAAAGTGGAGGTTTTTTTCTTACCAATTTAAAGCTTCAGCACTTTGGACTCCAGAAGTCTTTCAGAGAGCAGTTTCCTGCTTTGTTTGGTTCTGTTTCAGCTGAATGCTGAAGTGGAGGCTTAGTCACTATTATCTTCATGTCTCTGACATGACTAAAAGCTGAACCTCATGTTTTTATGTGTAACTTTAAAATGTATCCACACCCCCTCCCTGCTAAGTGGAGAGATAAACATTTTGTTGTAAACCCTGACAGTGCCAGGGAGTGTAACTGGTTCTTAGAGTGCCTGCTGTGTGTGAATGAGGCAGCATAAACTGGGTGCTCCCCATGCTGATCTCTGAAGGGTGCCCTGAGGATGTCATCACTCCTGCTTCTCTTGCTTGTGCTCTTTGAGGGTTTTTTTTGCCTCCAGGCTTCCAATTAAGTACATTAAAAGTGGCATTGCTGCAAGATCTGGACAACGGGGGCAATATGATTCCTTTGTTTTGGTTTCTATAATTGCAGTCCTTTTTTACTTGTTAATTGCTTGACTTGTTTCTTTTTTTTTACAAATATCAGTGGTTAGCATACCAAAAATGTTTCTTCACCCTACAGTATGTGCTGCACAGTTAAACAGAGCTTCCTGTGGAGGTCTCCTGCAGCTGTACAGGCAGGAGTAAGATAAGTGGCTTAAAGATCTGACCAAACCACTGTCACAAAAACATTCTCAGGAGGTGGGCAGCTGGACACGTGTATCTGTGACATTTGGATGCTGAGCTTGCCTTGTCTTAAAGCTCTTGAAGACTTTGTACTCCTGTAGTAGTTTGGTTTTGCCACCTTGATGCTCAAAGTCTGGTGGCTATTGCCATGAAATAATGAGACAACTCATGTACACAGCTTTAATTTGCATACTTGGGAATAACTTGGCCACTTTTAATGTGTTTTATTTGAAATAAATTGTCAGACTGCTGAGATAATCCACTTCTTGTGGAAGTTCAAGTGGAGTTCTTGCTCATAATGGCAATTTCCCCAACACCTGTTCTCTTAAATCGTTCACTTCAGATTCTTCAAACATTCATGCCATCTTGGTTTCCTTCACAGACAGAAATCAGAGCTCTTCTTCTTACAGTAAGATCCTATTGCTGAATTTGTTAACCTATAAAATGTTGGAATAGATAAAGGAAACTTGCTTCATAATACAGTTATAGCTACAGGTATCCCATAATAGTAAGCATAGAGAATTTTATTTTCCTGAGATGATGCTTTTATGTTAAAGACAGTCCCTTCCCTCCTAAATTACCCATCCTTCAAGTTTGGGAAACTCCTTGGAAATGTTTATGGGTTATTCTTTCCTAGAAAAGCTGTTTCAGTCAGTGGGGAAATGTTTGGTAGCTACACTTCCAGTTGTGCCAGTCCATGAAACAAAGGCAGAGTTCAGTCTCAAATTCTGTGAAGCTTTCAGTGGCCTGTTGTGTGTAGATTCTGCAGTGGTTTTGATTGATTGTTTGATTGGTTTCTTTGTTAATTTTGTTTCAGCTGGGATGAATGGGTTCCAGAAAGCCGAGTGCTCAAATACGTGGATACCAATTTGCAGAAGCAAAAAGAACTTCAGAAGGCAAATCAGTAAGTATTTGTTAGAAGCACTTGTCAGTAACTTTTTTCCTATCCTTTCCATCCAACAACTAGGGAAGATAGTGAGTTTAAAAAGAAAAAATCCTTCAAGAGATGTTCCTATGTTTATTTAATCTTGAGATAATTGGCTTAGAGGTGTTCTGACCTTTGTCCTTTAGCGGTTCAGAGAAAACAAACTGTTGCTTAGTGTGAAAATGGTGACTGGAGGTTTTAAGGGAGGGCAGGTTGGTAGCCTCACAGCAAGTACACCCTGTAACATGGAAATGAGGGGGCTAAAAATGACCCCTGTGCTGTATCCTGTAAAATATTTTGCTAAGTGATGAGGATATTAACAGGCAGCCTCAGCATGCCTACAGACACTTTGATTTTTATGACTCCAATCTTGTATTTCTTTAATAGAAGTAATTTTATAAGTGTTTTGTGTAACCTGGCCTCCTTTGAGGGAAAACAAGCTGCTTTTTCCATTAGTCTTATTTATGAATTTACTCTTTTTAAAGGGAACAATATGCAGAGGGGAAGATGAGAGGTGCTGCTCCGGGCAAGAAGACTTCTGGTCTGCAGCAGAAAAATGTTGAAGTGTAAGAAGCTTTTTATTTAAAAAAAAAAAAAAAAAATTCTCAACCCAAAAATCTCCCAAACTTTTGCTTGTCAGTTTTACTATTGATTTTTAAATAGTATTTTTCTTAGAATGGATCTGCAGGCCAAACTCTGTCACTTCTGACACCACCCCTGTGAAAGCTGGTGTTCATTTTGGTGATTCCAAAAAGGCCTTTGCTGAAGTATTTTATTAAATCTGCCTTCTTAGATTGTGCAGTGCTTGGTGCTGAATCAAGGTGCTGAGTAGACACTAGTGCTGTACTTTTTTGCACTCTATTCCTCTAAGTTAGTGAACTGACACTCAAAAAGTGGTGAGTCCTTATTAGGCTGGTGTATCTCTGTGATCAGTTGCTCTATGGTATTTTACATTTCTTCCAAGCTGTGCAAGCACTTCCGAATAAAACCCTTAAAATTCCTTGCCTTCATACTGTACCATTGCTAAAACAGCATCTGAAGAGTCTTTGTTTTTGACAAAACTAAACCTATATGCTATTAAAAATGGTTTTACATCTTAAGAGACCAGAAGCAAGCTCAGACATCTATTAGGAAAAAAAAAAGAGGATGTAACTATCAGATTTCTTTCATTCCATCCATTTTGTTTTCCAGAGTAGCCTTGTGCAGTGATTAGATTCTCATACAGTCAGTACAGCTCTGCTGCTTTGCTCTCATGCCACGGAACTCTTTTGTTTGGGGTAGCACTTCACTGAATTATGAAGAGGGTCATGACTAATGAGATGTTTTGAACTCCTAACTTCATTTATGATTCTGGTCTTCACGGGGAAGCTGCTGAAATGACATCAGAGCATTTGGCAGTAGCCTCAGGTTTCATGTCTCATTTATGGGCAACTTTGCTGGAAATATGTATTGTTAATTTGAGGTGTGCAGCAGTAGTGAGTACAGTTGTTGTGTTTTTGTGTGTTTTTTTTTTTCCTCTAGATCCTGAATGCTGATTTCCCAGTGGGATTAGTCAAAGCCCAGCCCAGGCTGTAGATTGGCTCTTGGCCTCTGGAGCAGGGAGTCTGATGGGTCTGGCAATAACTCTTGTCTGTGCTCCCTTGAGGGCTGTTGCTGTAGGATCTGAGGTGCTTCAACACCACCAGTCTGGTGTGCTCTGACAGGGACTTAGTCACCTGTTTGTCTTCATTTGGGGGTGAAAAAACCCAACCCAGGTGTTTAGACAGTTCCTAATGAATGTCATTAAATTATAATTACAACAGGTCCAAATTATGACCGTGATTAATTTGGCTGCTGAAGGAGCTGTTGCACCTGAGTTGTCTTGCATTTTAGTGGGAGTAGGATTAATTTCATGTGTAACTGACCTGGGAGGTGATGACTCAGTTGTATATTTTGCATTGTAGAGAACATCCACTGTAGTAACTGCAGGATTAGGTTCCCCATAGTGGCAGCTTGAGTCATCTCAGGAGTTCAGGCTGATTGCAGTGGGATGAGTCGCTCTGTCTGGCTGAGTAAATGCTATAAACCTGTGCTTGAAGTCCAGCTTGGCTTAATCCTCTCAACCACACCTCATAATCTTGCATCCAAGGGAGACCCACACAGCAGAACTTCCTTCATCTTAAGCCTCAGTGTAACTCTAGAGCTTGAAAGCACATTACCAGGTCTGTCTTCACTCTCTGGTTGAAATGAGTCAGGCAGAGGGAGTGGCTTTGCTTTTTGCTCTCATCACTCAGAAGCAGGGATGGTGGTTTCCAGCACAGCAAACCAGACAGTAAGGCAACTCTCTGAACCTTCTGTTTCATGTTGATTGGAAAAATGAATTCCTTAGTGGTGGATTTTTCAGAGAAAGGAAAACTGTTGTCATTAGAACAGGAGTCTGGCATTGTGGAAGTTATCTCAGGGTCCCATTCGCTCGTTGCACTGATCTTGCTCCTAGTCTCTAGCCATTACCAGCATCCAATGCATCCTTTGAAATTAGACCTGTGCTTCTTTTGACCAAGTCTCCCTGTTTTTCTTCTCTATTTGGAGGCTGAGGGAGAGGAAATACTTGGACTTATCCTAGCAGTGATACTGATTTGTTATTGACCAAACTACTGCTGCTCAGATCCTGCTTACAGCTAAAGGCAAGATGGCTTCTGAAAAATCTCAAAATCCAGCTCCAAAAGAAAACCTCTGGATTGTTCTCTTGTTGTAAATCTAAGGTCGTTGCAGATGACATAAAGCACTGGTGGTGGGGAGGGGGAAAAATCTGCTCATGCAACTGTTCTACAAGGGTAACGCTGTCAACCTATTTGGGCCTCAAAATTTACCTTTTGTAGCATTCTTGGAGGATTGGACAAGGGGAAAGGTAACTCAGCATTTTGAAACTTACTCTTCAGCTAGCCAAACGCTAATGGAAAGGAAATAACACTCTAAGCACAACTTATCCTCCAGGAATGTTCAGTCAGGCTGTAATATGCTGCTAAAAAAAAAGGTAAATTTTTGAATCTTAAATAGATTCTCTTGAAGGCTAAAGTCTGACATTCTTTCCTTAACTCAACCCCCATTGTGCCTAGATTTTTCAGACGAGATGGAGCGCACACAGTTTGCTGTTTGGAGACCCCTACCATATCGACGCGGTGAGTTAAGGATGGATTGTCAAACCAGGATTCCCATCCTGACATCCAGATCTCCTTCCTGTCATAGACTCCTTGTAGGGACTCTTAAAGTCCTCTGTTGTAACCGTGTAAGCTTTGGTCGCAGCTCAGCTAACAGTTTTAAGTGCTGCAGTATGTTGTTGGGGGTTTTGTTTTCTTTTGAAGCCTGTATGGGCTTACCAGTTTTTAGCTGCTCTGAAAATTGCACCTTTTCACTTGGGATAGGGGACAATATGAGCAGTCAAATTCATTAATTCAGCACGTCCTCCACTTCTTTATAAACAGTGGACAGCTGACTTGTGTGTTTTGGAACTGGTTAGTTCTAGAAGGTTACAGTTGGGCTGTGGCTCCCTGCAGCCTGCAGTTCTGCTGCCATGGAAGCAGATGACAAAGAGCTCTGCCTCCTGTAAGCCTTGGGGGAGAGGCTGCTGTGACCAACAGTGGCAGGAGTGGGAGGTTTGAAGGTGCTCCATAGTGTGCTCTGATTTTACTGTTGACTTGAGTTTGTTCAGAATAACTGTTTCTGTAAACTGCAGCAACTGGCTCAAAGCTTTCGAGTCTATTTGTAAACAAGATTTCATCAAAGAGAAAATATGCATGAAATGCAGGATGTGTGCATTTGTTTTTAAAGTAGTTACTCACCTTAGGATGACTAGAAGCTATCAGTGGAAAAAAAAAATTGTATGGTTGTAGCAGGTGGCCAAAAATGAAGGCAACACTACAGATACTGGCTTCTTCAGAATTCCCACCTGTAAGAGGTCATGCTACCTTTGATGGCCTTAATATGATTAACTTGCAAAAAATCAGTAAGCAAGAGTCAAGTGCTTGGACACTGAGGGTAACTGAGTGTGTTTTGGACGGAAGGTGTGGCACTGAGTAACAAATTTGAGGGTAGCATCTGTTTTTAAATGATACATACTCAAGCAGCTTTGACAAAGATGCTTTCAAAACAGTATCTCCATTTGGAAGCTGCTGGTTTTTCTTCTAATAGGAGCCTTGTTCTTAATGTGAAGGTGTTGCTCCAACACACACTCCTGCTGTGTGTCTCCTGGGGCTAGCTTGGGCCCAGCTGGAAGCTCTCTCAGGCTCCCTCAAGTCCTTGAAATGCCAAGTGGCAGATGGATGCTGCCTATGTGCCAGTTGTCCTGGGCTGTATTGACACTGGAATGCCTTCTCTGGCTTGTGCTGGAGGCTCTCCTGACCTCACCTGCTCTCTAATGGTCACCAGTAACGTGTGCTTAGGGATAGTCAAGTGAGTCATGTCTAGAAAGATGCTCTCCCCAAACACCCTTTTTATTTCTGGCAGTCTGTAATGAAGGGACTTTGGAGCTGGAGGCTGTATCCATGTGGTGGGGTTAACAACCCTGTGTAGGACTGCCTGGTATTTATCTGATAACTTCTGAACCCTTTGGACTCCTGGCAAGCCCATCCTCTTGTGGTTAGTGTTCTCATTTTAATTCAGCTCTGTGCTGGAGAGGAAGGAGGATGACTCCTGTCTTTAACATCTGCTGCTTTGGCTTTTTTGCCTTTCATCTATCCTGAGGAAAGGTTGATTAGTTTGGAGTTCCACCTTTTATCACTGGTGATCCCTCCACCACATTTCCCCTCTTCTTCCTGCCCAGTTGTCAGCCTGGGAAAGCCCTTGTCTGTCCAGTACTCCTGGTAGAGAAGCTGTTGTGTGCTCCCAGCTGTTCTCTCTGCTGCTTCTAGTTTCATAGTGTTCCTGCCAAGGTTTGGTTGCCTGGCCAGGCACAGAGGGCATGTGTATAATCATGACTTCAGGGTTTATCCTCTTGCTGATACTGTTGATGGTTTAATTGAATCTTCAGAGTGCTGCTTCTCACAGCAAAGCTGGTGACCAGGCTGCTTGAGCAATAGATTTCACACCATTTTTTTTTTGAATGTGCTTGTTTTTCACACTTGAATATTTTTTTTACTACTATGCATTTTGTATTAGGAGAGACTCAGTTTCTTGTGGCTTTGTTATAACTCTTGATGGGTAAAGTGACACCTCATCTCCTTTCTGGTGTTTACAAGTGTTTTGAACTCAAATGCCTGAGGCCAGGTGGGCACTGCCCTCATTCTCTGCTGCTCCAATCTTAACCAGCTGGGAGGTTCTAACAGACCTGCAAGTCCCTTTAAAAGGCATTGGATTTTGAGAAACTAAGTCAGTTGTTATGGTCCACAACATTTTTATCTAGCTGGTTGTGGACTCCTAATTGTTGTGGAGTAAGTGAACTTTCCAAAGTAATTTTTTTCCTCCTGATGTCATTTTTCTGTGCTGAATTCAAGTTTCTAAGCTATTTTTATCTTCTACTGACAGGTCTCTAGACACATCCCAGAAGACACTCCAGCTTAGAGCTCTGCATGTTAACACCAACTCTTTTGTGCAAGGATTGCTGGCTTCTTGAGGGGGCTCCCAAGGTTCTGTGACAGATCCTTGGTTCTCTTCAGACAAATGTCTGGAAAGGATAAGTGCAGCCTTTCAGTGTGTTGCCTTCTATGGCATCCTCCTGAGTCTCACCATTTGGTGGTGAACACAGTCCTGTTTTGGATGCTGAGCTGGGAAGCTGAGCATTACACTCGTGTAGCATGGAGGGCTTGTTTTCATCCTGGGTCTGCCACTTTTTGTTGTTGAGAGCTGTTCTGCAAGCTGTGATACTTCTTCCTACTGACTATCTCGTTTCTACACAATTTCAGATGGTTATGTCAGTACTCTGGTTTTGGCTTTCTAATTCAGTTTCACATTTTAATCCCTAGTACTTGGATATTCTTCTTATAGCTGTGTGTTCTTGTTCTGCTAAAATAAAACCCTCCAGTGAGCTGCTTGCCAGGACTGTTTGCTGGCCCTGCTCCTTTGGGGAGGTCACGTCTGACTACAGTGGGACACATCCTTTGAAGTTTGAACTGCAAGATCTTGAGCACCTCTGTTCAACCTTCTGATTAAAACTCTTTCCACAGATGCTTCCTTAACTTCCATGCTGCATTTTAGTTTTGTTTTCAGTGAAAAATTGCAGTCAATAGGGAAATGTGAGTGAAGAATAGCAGCTGGGCTGTACTTGCTGTATGAAGAGAAGTCAGTGAAAGATTTTATACTGCCTCAACTCATCAGGACAGGGCTTGCTGTTCATAATGCAGTTGTGAAGTGGCACAAAAGGATGTGTTTTAACCTATCCTATGTATGGTTCATCTCTTTTTATCACTTCAGGACTTAAATTCCACTTGTCTTTGCAGGAA